GAGCAGCGGTGGGCCCCAGACCGACCCGGCGACCGCGCCCCAGGGCCTCGGGGGCGGCTTCCTTCCGCCGCCGCCGCGGCGGTTGTCACTCTAGGCGGCAGGGTCGGGGCGCGCCCCTCTGCAGGACGACTGTTCAAACATAGCCAACGGGCTCCAGGAAGAAGGACGTCAAGGATGTGATCGCTCAGATCGTGACCGAGTTCCCCGGCGTGATGCGGAGGCAGCAACCAGCGGCGATCCAAGCCGCCGTCGACGTAAGCCCCAAGGTCGCCAGAGGAGAAAGCCGCGATGAGGAGCATAATGGGGACGTGCTGTCGTCATTGCCTCTTGAAACAGCAAAACGGCGAGGCTGCGCAGCCAGGCGCAATGCACTGCCCTGGGCAATTTGCATTCCACGCCGTGCCCGACATGCATCCAGAAGCACGGCGTGTGTTGATCGTGTCTCGCCAGCCTGGCAGGGCACGCCAAAATCGATTGGCCATCAACATTTCGAATTTGCAGCGTTCTGGTGGGTGCGAAGATTTTGGTTGCATTTCCCGGTGCAGCCCTGGCCAACTGCCAGGCTTTGTTCGGCTTTCAAGGCTCTGGGATACAATTAGCGCGAAAATTTGGATCGCATGTCTTCTGTTCCGGCCGTTTTCGACGGAATTCAATTCAACATTCGCTGGCCCCCTCTTGGCAGTGTGATATCGTAATACCGCAAGCGCGAAACTCGTAATGGGATCAGTATCTTGCGATGGCCGGCCAACCTGCTGCCGCCGAAAATTTTCAGACCCAGAGGGGTTTGAACGCAAATGCCAATCGCGAAGCACGCGCTCAAGCTAATTGTTGCTACATGTTGCTACAACATACATACACAATCGATGCAGCTAAAAGTCGCCACGCCAAAACAATTACCAAAGGCCTTGGGTGATTGTTTTGGCGCGGGTTTTGTTTTCGGGTATCAAGACCCCGCCTCCGACGTCTGTATTAGGCATGTGGGCTCGAACACGCTGAGGCCGAAAGGGATGTGAAAATTTGTGATTTGTTGTATACTGTCTGCGCATGCATGGCAGAGTAGTGGGGGCTCGAATGGTGATCTTTGTATTTGGGTAATTCCAGTGGTGCTCTTTTGTTTGTCCAGTTACTCACTTGTAACGCCTCCCGAGATTCTTTGTCAATGTGTCTGGTCCTTAGTGTATCAGCTCATCCAGAAACGGGCGCTGCGCTCTTGGGGGCAGTTCGATGTCTTCGTTTCCGTCTCCCTCTTTTTTCTTGCCCCGCTGCTTGTTCCCTCTTGCCTGCCTGGGCCGGCGTGGCCCAAATATTTTAGCAAACGTGCATTTGCTGAGCGCGCCACTGTCTGACTCCATTGCCTGACCCCGACAACCAAGAAAGGATTGCATTATTGCCTTGCTTGCCGCGTCTTACCCTGCAAAGAATGGAATGGCATAATCGGCCTGTTGCGTTGGATCGCGCGCGCCGGCGAGGCCCGTTTCCAGTGCCGTTGGAGCGCTTGGCCCGCGGCCACCTTCGGAATATTGCTCCGTATCCCAACGATCCCTCCGTATTCGCGCCAATGCTGGACAACGCGCTGCTTGCGTCTTCATCACAGGCCGCGGTGGCCACCAAAACGGAACTGCAAGAGAAGGCTAACGCCATCCTCCAGGCTGGTTGAGAAGACAACAGGGTGCGCACATATTCACAGTCATTGAAAGTGCATGTGCAGGGTGTCGAACGAGGTGGATGCCACCCTTCTCCTAGTTGATTCCGCTTACGGCGCAAACTGGAATACGATCCGCCTCATCAAACCTGCGGTGAAGGCCAAATTTTGAGCGAAATATTCGAGCAGTGCTGGGACGACAGATCCCTGCATTTATGGCGAGGGCTTACAAAACGTGCGTGTCATGCATCCGAGAAGAAGAAAAGTCATCATTGAAACAGAATGGGCAGAATTTGCGTTCTCCCGGTCTGTCACCGATACGCCGGCGGGAGTGCGCGACGCAATTATGGAAACTTTTTCTTTTTCGGAGCCCATGCAATCTCTGAGGCAATCAACATTCTCTTTGGTGACATTCGTAGAGGACGACCACACTGCATGTTTCATTCGGTCGCAGAAAAATGACACTTGCGGGGCAGGTATGGTGCTGGATACCTTTCGCAATACTTGAAAGCACATCACCAGGCAAGTTTCAGAAAGATTGGATAGCGTGGCGAGAGGTCAACGCGCCTGCCGCCCCACATTTTTTCCTACACGACGGCAAATTCGCTGCGGAAAACTGTCAACCTTCTTTTTGACGATCTGTCGGCCAACTCCACCTCTTTTCGCCGCGGGGGCACAGGGTGGTGCGGCACTTACGCGAAAATCACCCCGGCAACGCAAAAGAAACGTTTCATGGAGGCCTAATTTCGCTACTCAGTCCCGCAAAAGGCACGCAGGCCGGGCAGCGAGTTTGCAAAGCAGCCCATCGCTGATTTAGACGATGAAGCGCATAGGCTCCCCCGGCCTGAATAAGAAACATTTGCAAAACAAGCGCATCTTTTTGTCACATTCCGTCTGAAAGGCTTGCCTCGTGGGGGTGTCCACCAGCGACGAAACCGGTGGCCGGTCTTTGGTGGGCTGGAAAGCTTTGAGCTTTGATGCTGGGGAAAAGCATCGGTGTCGTTAGATTGACCTACTTGGCAGGGAATCGAAGGTTTTCGTACAAGGGGCGATCTGCAGGCACCCGATTCCCTTGACTCGATCGGGTGCCCCCCCAGCGGGGTTGATTAGTTCATATATTCCATATTTGTTTTGGCGCACTCTTGTACGGGATCCTCTTCTGCGCATGCATGGACATGTTGTGCGTGTGTGGGTGTGTGTGAGTATGTGTACGTGTGTGTGCGCGCGTGTGCGTGTGCGTGTGCGTGTGCGTGTGCGCGTGCGCGTGCGTGTACGTGTGTGTGTGTGTGTGTATGTTGGTGTGTGGCGGTCGTCCACCAACAACGCACGTGGTGCGGCGGCCGTCGGTTTCTGTTGCGGGCGCCCTGTGTCTTAACGCTACTCCGCAGAGGACGGGGCCTGGCAGTGCGGGCTCCTTTGAGTCGCGCCCATTTGCGGAATTAGCATTTTGCACTTGCGAGTGCCACACATTGGAACATATTCGCTTCCAACATTACTCTGTTTGTAATATTATTCTCTTTATTCCGTGATGAACTAGAATAGGTTTGTCTTGCTTCGGGTTTTCTTCGTCTCTGGTTGTTTCCTAGATTCGAGGCTCTCTGGTGTCCATCCGTGTGCACATCCTTCGATTTAGGATTTTCTCAATTTCCTCGGTTTGGGGCTTCTCACATGGGTTATTCTGGAATTCATCGATATTGATTTTACTTGATTTTCTAATGTCCTCAATTCAGCAATTCTTCGGTCGGATGTTTCTCGGCCAGGGGGACTTTCGACCAGAAAAAACAATTCTACATGGTTGACGAGGAGGAAAGACCAAAATCGATGCACACGACGCTGCCAATGTGTGGCGGTACGTCGTCGTTGGTCGTTATCGTCGTCTTCGTGGTTCTTCTTTTCTTTTCAAGGAGGAAACAAAGAAACAACCAACAAACAACAATATTTCACCATGGCATCTGGAACTGGCAGGCTTTGTTTTTGGAACGGCCGTGTCTTGTTTCTTGAACGCTTGCAACTTCTTCGTGGAACTCTGGAATAATTTCCAGAAAACTGATTCTGTGTTTCGGAACGCCGGAAGAATTTCGGGAACGCTGCAACTGCTGTCGGAACGCTGGAGGGCCTTCCGGAACGGCAACCCTCCGAAGCTCATGATGGCTTCATGATGGCCGACGAGAGCCAAGAGGGCTCCAAGACGGACCCAAAGGTACAACTTTCGGCATCCGAGGGGGGTGCACCGAATTCAGAACTCTCCTCCCTGCCTCAAGAGGCCAGCCCCGAAGAGCCCCTCGAAGGCCGCAAGACCGCCCAAACAAGCCTCAAGGGGGCCCCGAAAGGCCCAAAGGGGTCCACGAGGGCGTTCAATCAGCTCTCAGTGCTCCAAGAATTTCCACAGATCCTTCTGAGCGGCTGTTCCACTGCATGCTATCACACGCCAACGCGCCTAAGATTTTTGTGGATGACATGCCAGCTGCCGCCGAAACATAATACGCAGGAATGTGCGAGCAAAGGTTTCGCTGAATTCTGCTGCGCCTCCCTCGTTAAGCCCAAATTCCCTACGAATCGTTGCTGGATGGCTGGTGGGGATGCGCGAGGCGTCAAGCACTTCGACCGAAACCTGTCGAGCTGGACCCAAATCTCATAATTGAAATTCTACGGGGAACCAGGGAGGGCTTCAGCGAAGGGCTATGGAGCATCCGTTGCCAATGCCTACACATTTGTGTCGAGGATGCCGCCTCTTCTATCTCCCTCCACGAAATATCAGAAAGACTGGTAAGAACAGAAATCCTGGAACATCATTTGAGACGTGTTGTAGGCGTCTCCTTTGACGGCCCTCTTCAAACCATGTGGCTGGAAATTCCGAACGCCTCTACGTGACGCCGTGTGCAGCAACCCATGTTGTCAAGATGGCAGGTTGCCGAAGATGCCCCCCAACCGACCCAAGATGGCTCACCGACGGCCTGAAAATGGCATCAAAACGGCCTCAGCGGCGGCCCACACATGTAATAATTGGATGTTCTTGGGTGCTGCATTTTCCTCATATCGAATTTTCGGTCTTCTGGACCCACGACATGCCCCGAGGCCGTGCAGAGGGACCCAAGACGGCTACAATCAAGAAGCCACCAAAACGCTCCGAGGCGCCTGATGGGACATTCGGAGTCCCACGTTACGGCATCCTGTGCACCCCGGTCCGATGTACCACACGATTACAATGATAACCCGAGCTCTGGAACACTCGTGAAGTCCGACAGAAGAAGGACAATGATATTTTCATTCCATCACTTATCTCTGTCGCCCTCGGAGCGGCGCAATTCACGAAGGCCAGGATCACGAACCAGCTGAAGCGAACATGTCTACGCAGCGATCAACCAGTCCGCATCCTGCAGTGCTTTTTATTCGCAAAGCAGTTTGCACATTTCCCATGCTGCATCGACGTCGCTTGCTCTGGTCACCACGGCTGGCCAACAAGTCATCGTGCAGAAATGCTTCACCACAATCGTCACCATCATTGGCGACCAACACCACGACGTTCACTTGACCACGACTGTGACGCCTGAAAGAACATCCCAGACGGACACACACACACACACACACATCTGCTTAATGATTAGTGTCGCGAACTTTGTGAGGTCTGGTTGATGGGTGGGGCCCCGATCAATGTTCACATTGACCTCAATCATAACGCATGGCTGCTTTCCGTCTGTCCCTCTCTTCTCTCGATCTCGCTGTCTTTTTTTTATCTCTCTCTCTCTGTCTTCACCTTGCCTTCCTTTGCCCTCTGCGGCAAAATACATGAGGAATAACAGCATAGATGGCACCGCACAACACAAAGGAGAGTCCTCTGCACAGCCCGCATGAAGCGGCCCTTCGGGCCCAACTTGAGGCCTGCAAGAAAGAGAAGCATCCAACCCACACAAGTCAGATCCGTGTGTGAAGGAAAATTCTGGGCCGGTCATTGGAAACGCTCTCTGGATAGAACATTGTCATCCCTCCCCAGCGACCACCTCTGGCTATCCAAGCTAGCCAAACCGAGGTGAATCGAGCCAGGTCGTAATCGAGCCGAAGGGGAGGGAGCCCCTTCCCTTTGATCCCTTCCCCGCCGGGGGGGTACCGGGGGGTGGGTCCTGGGTAAGAATGCGCTTCCTCCCTTGCCCTTCGGGTAATCTTCGCGCCTGTTTTGCCCTCTTTCGGCAAGTTACGTCCAAGACTCCCGATCTGGCCCCAAGACGGCCCAACAGACCTCCAAGAGAACCTGAGAGGGACCCAACGAGGCACAAACACGCGAAAACCATTGGTATGCCGCAGATTTTTGACAGATTCTAGCGTTTCGCTTTTTCCGGTCTTCCAACGCTCCGAGCCTGCCCAGGAAGCTCCTACGGTCGCCCCAAGACTGCCCAAGGCACCCCAAAGAGGGCTCCAAAACAGCTCAAGAGGGCCCCAAAAGGACCCCAAGACGGCTCAAGAGAGCCTCAAGAGGGGGCGCACGAACTGACATTTCGAGCCCTCCGCTCCAACATGTCCCCCAGAATCGCCAGCAGGCCCCCAAGGGGCCCCCAAGAGCCTCCCAAGAGGCCCCCAAGAGGACCCGAGGAGATCCCAAGAGGCCCCAAAGAGGTCCCGAAGAGCCCTCCAGTAGGCCTCTGACAGGAACCCCAGAAGACCCTCACATGCATTCAAGAAACCTTTGGTCCACAGAGGCGGGATGGGCCGACGGTCACTAGATCCGCCGCGGTGACTCGCCGTAGGCGTCTTCGATCCGCCGCCCCCTGTTGAAGAATGCCACAATGTGCCTGGCAGGGTGTTTTAATCCTAGCCAAGGCCTCCCCCCGGTCCCCCCGGTCGCAGACTCCTGCGTGCACCGCCCCTTCTTGCCGAGGCCTATTCCCTCGTGCCCGCTCGAGGATGGTGCACTTCCAGCATGGCACGAACTGCCTGAACCCCCATTCTACGCGTTCCCGCTCGAGAATGGTGCACTTCCCACGTGGGAACAAATGCCAAGTCCCCCATTCTACGCTTGCGCGCTCGAGGATGGTGCAACTCCCGCATGGCAGCTAATGCCTGAATTCCCATCCCACGCGTGTCCACCCCAAGATGGTGCACTTCCCACATGGCAGCTGATGCCTGAAACCTCATTCCATGAGCGCCCGCTCGTGGATGGTGCACTTTCCGCATGACTGCTGACTCCTAGGCCCCTCATCCAACGCGCACCCGCTTGATGATCGCACACTTCCCAATCGAAGGCGCTGCTCCCAAAGGCTCCAGGGCCTCCCAAGCCTGGATCCTTCGTCAAAGACGATGGATATGCGTCCCGAGCTTTCAAAACGGCGGGTGCAGGCAACCTGGGGCATCAAGATGGCGCTATATACATCGAAGACTGCCCACGATGGCCCCGAGGCGGCCGAATATTGGTTCAAGGCTGCTCAAGATGCCTCCAAGAGGGCCCAGAAAAGGCCACAAGAAGACCCCCGACAAGGTCCGAACACGTCGGAATTATTGATTCCCTGGGGCCTTCAAATGATTTCCGCATTCTCGCCTTTTCGGGCTGCCGTCAGCTCAAGACGGCCAAAGAGGACCCGACGATGGCCCAACAGGCATCCAAGAGTGCCGCAAAATGGTGCAAGAAGGGACTTTGGTGGGACCCAACACGGCTTAGAAGGCCCTTCGACCGCCCAAGACGGCGCCAAGACAGCCCCACGATGAGCCAAAGACGCCCACCATACAGCCAAGAGGGCCCCAAGACGGCCCATGAGACCCCCAAGTTGGCGTAAGAGGGCCCCAGGACGGCCCAAGAGGGCCCCAAGAGACTCCCAAGACTGCCTAACAGGAAGTCAAGACAGCCCCGAGACGGCCCAAACAAGATGCTTCTTCATCATCATCATCATCATCATCATCATCATCATCATCATCATCATCATCATCATCATCATCATCATCATCATCGTCACTACCACCATCATCAGCAACATCACCATCAACATCAGCATCAACATTGGCATCAGCATCGCCAACATAATCGTCAACATCACCATCGCCATTAATCATTATTCTCATCATCATAGAAATCGTCATCGTCGTCATTTTCATCACCATCATCCCCATGAGGTGCCACGCATGACGGCCTCCCGTGCCCCCACTGGGCAGTCGCCACCCAACCAAAATGCTCGGCTGGCACGGGGGCGGGAACTGGCGCATGCGACTGGATATTCACACGCGCGCGCACACACACCAACACACGCGTATTCACAAACACAGGTTTGCACAAACATCACACACATATTCATACGCACTCACACGCGCACGCGTAATCAGAAATCAACACATGCCCGCACATATTCACACGCACGCGTACTCAAACACGTATTCATACACACGCGCATGTTCACACCTATTCTCACGCACGCATGCGCTCACATATCCGCACGCGCAGATTTGCACATAGTCCCTCACACACGCATTTTCACACACACACACACGCACACACACGTTCACACACTTGTTGGCGCCCACATAAGTTCAAATACACGTATGCACCGGCACATTCACACACATATCCAAACACACGCACACATGCACGCATATTCACAAACACCTTCACATGCACGTTGGCACACACGCAAACCCATTCACACACACACGCGCACTCACACCCACACGCACACACACACACATCCCCACCGACACGCACACCTCCCAACACACACACACACACGAACACACGCAAACACATACACACACACTCTCACACCCACACACCATATACACCATATACACCATATACACCACACACCACACACACACACGCCAACACATATACACACACTCACGCACACACGCACACGCAAATATTCACCCACAGTCGCGCAAACATTCACACACGGACAAACACACGCTCACGCTCGGGCGAATCCGCACACACGCAGACACAAACACGCACACGCGTATTTCCAGACACATTCGCCGACGAAAATTCACACACAGATTTCTTCACCCACAGACGCATGCGTACACACACATGTTCCCACACGCGCGCAAATTCACACACACAAGCATATTCATACACGCATGCGCACGCATGCTCGCACCTAGTCAAACACACGCACACACACACTCATGCACTCACACTTGCATATTCACATTCACGCGCGCGAATTCACGCACACACACGCACAAACGCGCGCACACACGCGCACACGCGCGTTCAGACAACGATGCGCGCAGGCATGTACACACAGGCACCGACATATCGTCACACACATGCGCATTTTGACACGCACGCACGCACGGACGGCACACACCAGTTCACGCGCGCGCAAGTTGCGCACAACAAATTCAGAAACACACGCGCATCCACACACAATCGCGGACACGTATTCACACACGCGCACAGTCTCACAAACATACCCACAAACAGCAGTAAACTGACACGCGCACGCACGTTTGCATTCACACATGCAAGCAGACGCGAGTCATGTCATAGTGTGATTCTTGAAAACATGGGGGGCACGTGGTAAAAACAAAACATCCCTTGTTCGGGCAAATCGCGGCCGGGGCACCCGCCACGTGGAAACACGCGGCAGCGGCGCCGATGATTAATGCCGACGCCCAGCCGCCAGCGAGAAGGCGACATGCGCGACGCAAGCGGCGCCGCTTCGGCGGAAAAGGGGGCAGCAGCGCCTCCGCTATCGGGGCGGTTGGGCCACAATGGCTACAGACAACAGAGACAGAGGAACCGGGGGGCAGAAACGCCTGATTTGGCGGGCGGTGCTGGCAGGGCTTCAAAAGAGAACGGGGAGAGGGGGGACGAGCGGCAAAGGCAAGCAAAGAAGGTGCGTCTTTTTTTTCCGCCGTTCCTCCCCCCTCCATTAGAATATGTGCTACGACATCGACGACGACGACGATCCGTGGACGGCGGGCGACTGTGTTGCTGTGCGTGCCCGCTGTAATCGTCGACGACGACGACGACGCCGACGACGTGACGACGAAACACTTCGGATGCCCATGGGAGGGGGTGACGCTGCGGAGGCCTGCTGCGCTTGACGACGACGACGACGACGACGACGGCGACTGACGACTGACGACGGACGACGGACGACGACATCGACGACGACGCAGTGCGGATGCCCCATGGGGGGTGGGGGGTGGGTGGGTGCTGCGTAGGCCCGCTGTAGTTGACGACGACGGCGACGACGACGACAGACGACGGACGACGGACGACGACGACGACGAGGACGACGACTGTGGCACGTCAGTAATCAGCTTGAGAAGGGGGCGCACTTCGCCTCGGACGTATACGATCCGTACAACAACTTCTATCCGAAAAACAATCGTTTTGGAATTTCCGTGCAAGTGGTACACGATTCCTTCGGCGGCGCCCGCGACGACTCCCTGGCGCGCGAAATTAAAAAATGCTTGGCGCCCCGCCGGATCTATTCGTCAGCCCTGTGGGCATCGTCGTTTAGTGCTGACATTATTCACACACGCACGTATTCACGCGCACACAAACGTATTCACATACATGCGCACGTACGCACCTACATATAACCACACGGACGAGCACACGCACACGCAGACGCACACGCGCAAGCACAGTGAGACGCACACGCACAGCACCCAACACACGGACAACACACACAACACACAGCACACAGCACACACGCAACACACGCAACACACACACACACCACACACAACACTTCACGAACACCACACACAACACACACAACGTACACCAAGCACACAACTTACACAACACACACACACTTTACAGAACACACAACACGCACAAAACACAACACACATACCTCACACACAACACACAACACACAACACACGCGCACACAAGCGAAAACGCACTCACGCACACACGCACACACGCGCACGCAAAC